TCCCCATGTTAAACTCCTATGTACGATGGGCGTGTAGGGGGGAGGGGGGGTCAATTTTTGACCAAATTTTTGCGTACGTACTTTATGGATGACGCCTAAACATAACACCAATCATTAACCAGTGGCTAAATGTTTGAAAAATATCATTACGTTTGGCCTAAAGGGCCACAAATATTGCCAAATATTTTATTGTAAATTTTTTATGTAAACATCAAATATTTAAGGGTTTGAATTCGCAAAAATAAATATCAGTTTATTTTGCTGTTTTATAAAAATGTTTGCTTATTTCTGCGTCAATTGGATTTGCATTTAGATTAATATATTCATAGGATTTTATATTTACTTCAAAATGGATTACTTGTTATAGTATAAATAAATAATCCATTATATCCACTAGTATACATAACCCTAACATATATACTATATAAACTACATATATAAACTAGTAACATATATATATTCCAATAATTATAAGATATATTTTATCGTAACATATTATAGTAATACAATATATAAAATTACATTTTAGAAATAATTTTATTTCATGCTTAAGAAAGTTCTAAATTTAGATATTTCAGGATAAATAATTGATTACATTTTTTATACTAATTCTCAGGTCTTAAGACAAATACAATCCTTTAAAATGCAAATTTAATTCATACAAGAACATTAATATGATAGTATCTATAATATACAAAAAGATCAATCGATGAATAAAAATGAATGACTATTGATAAATAATTTTACATTGAAAGCAGAGTTTATTATTAGTTTGAATGAGTAAACTCTGCTTTCAATGTAAAATTATTTATCAATAGTCATTCATTTTTATTCATCGATTGATCTTTTTGTATATTATAGATACGTATCATATTAATGTTCTTGTATGAATTAAATTTGCATTTTAAAGGATTGTATTTGTCTTAAGACCTGAGAATTAGTATAAAAAATGTAATCAATTATTTATCCTGAAATATCTAAATTTAGAACTTTCTTAAGCATGAAGCTAATTAGTTTTCTAAACGCAAATATTATGCACCTAACATTTAGAAAGCAATTGATTTCTGTTGATACACTCGCAGCCAATCCACTTCCATCGTAGGCTTCTCCCATTTGGTGGCCTCCGAGGCGGTCACCTGAGGGCCGAACACTTTTTCGGGAAAAAACTTCCCGCCCACCGCTATATTCAATATCCAATGGAAATCCTTATTGTACGGCTCACCCTTATGTTTATAAGGATTAGTACCATTTCCCGACCACATATCTCTGTTTATATTTTCGGTGTGAAATTCATTTCCATCTAAAAACCATTTAATATGATTCTTATCCCACGTGAGACCGAATGTATGAAACGTTGCGCTGAAATCAGTGCTAAATTTCCTATCTTTAGTCACTTTGGACACCGTGTCGGGTGCCACTCCTCCGTAGTGAAGGGCTCCGGCTATAGTGTCGGTGCGCTGACCCCTGTACTCCATGATATCTATCTCACCGCTGGCCGCCCTGTCCGTTCAAATGTAATGATTGATACATTAAATACTTATATTTTATAATATATTTCATATGAGAGGGAATGGATACAAACCATTTGCCAAACTCGTTGTTCTGAGGCATAAGCCAAATGGCTGGCCATAAGTGTTTGCCTTTCGGTAGGCGAGCCCTGCACTCAAACTTGCCATAAGTCCAGGCCTTCTTTGAGGTGAGCCGTGCGGACGTAAAGTGTCGGCCGTCCTTCTCCTCGGCTTTGGCCTCAATAATGAGGTGTCCCTTCTCTACCCGTGTGTTAGAGGCATAGTATTGCAGTTCATTATTTGTTGTCCACGCTTTCAATACGTGTGCAATATTCAAGTCATATTACTATCATTAGTCATATTTAGCAGTCAATTCTATGACTATTACCTCCAGACGAGTACTTCCATTCGGAATCATTGAACAAATCACCATTAAACTCGTCCGACCAAACCAACTCCCAGTTCCCCTTACAGCCAACAAATATGCCACAAATTACAAGTACTACCAAATACATGCTAACGTAATGCTTAACAATCCATTAAATTGGCAATTAAATTTATTTTTTTTTGTATTTTTTCCTCATTTTATTACTTATATCATAATAATATATGTAACTGATAACAATATACATATTTCGTATGATAATTTAAATACTGATTATGAATTAGTGTTTTACATGACAGACATTACACGAGAAATATTAAACATAAATCACAATAAATCCTATGGTTTATCCGAAATGCCGACTATTATTATAAAACAATGTATGAATATATTTTCAAAAATATTTTATATACTGTTTAATAAGATAGTTGAACACCAGAAAATACCTGATAACTTGAAAATCAGTTGCATAACCCCTGTCCTTAAACCAAATAAAAACAAATGTGATATCAAATCATATAGACCTGTATCAGTGTCACATAATTTGATCAAGATTTTTGAAGCTATTCTCTATAACAAAATATACAGTATTTTAAATAATAATCTATTTCCTGACAATGAGTTTGGCTTTCGAAAAGGTTTAAGCACTTCAAACCAATTCATTGAATTATTATATGATTTTTGTACTGCATTTCATAACAAAAAACTTATTTATTCATATTATATATCTTGACTATTCTGTAGCTTTTGATACAGTATCCCATAATCTATTACTTAAAATACTCACTGAATGTAAATTACCTTATATTATAGTCAAATTGATTGAAAGTTTACTTAAAAATCGAAAACAAGTTATCAAATATAATCAATGTTATTTCAGGTGTGTTACAGGGATCACGATTATCAGGGCTACTTTTCATACTATACTTACGAAATCTAAAATATATTGTAAAACATTCATCATATAAGCTATACGCTGATGATAATGTTATTTATAAACCTATTTATAATACAAATGACAATTACTACAATTAGATCTAGATAACATCTATAATTGGAATAATGAATCTAACCTACAACTAAACCCACATACGGTCAGACGGATTACATAGAGTACGTGCGAGAAGTGGTCCGCAAACTATGTATTCAATGATGAGCACCGGGTGCTTAACATCGATGATTTGATACCGTTTCATAAGCTTAATGGTTGCACCGATGCTGACGGTGCTGTGAATAATACAAGTGATTTCATGGTAGGTTTTGCTAATGATACGTTTAAAATGTTAATTTCAATCACCCCGGTATCTGATAGTTAAACTTTAATATATAAAACTGGGTTTTCTGTAATAATCAGTGTATTTATGAGTCAAATAAAATATAACAGTTATATAATAAAAGATAATTTAATTATAAAGTGTAAGCGTAATTTATGTGTATTTATTTTATTAAAATTAATATTTATTTTTAATTTTGAGTTTTAATACAAAATATAGCTGTAATTAATTTCAATAACTATCACAAAACCTTAATACATAATTCATTAAATATATTTTCACCAATATGGTTTCATGTTAATAAAACAAATACAATAATATGTTTAAAAATCAAATCAGTATACCTTTTATAATCCTATTAACACTGGGATTATATAGTTGCTTCAGAGAACAAGATCAATTTAACTTACAAGATCCTAGGCCGGAATTATCACTACTACAACCCCGGCAACGTGTGATTCTCCCATACAATGACCGGTCAATGCCTGATACATACCGTCAACATCCCGGTCATTCAGTGCGTGCAATGCAATCCCCAACTTATATACGCCGACAATTGCCTAATAAAACCCCACTTCGCTTACCTCAATACAAACGCCCGGTGCTGCCCAAGATGAATAAAATAATGTTACCTACAATCTTAAAAGAACGCCCAGGTATGTACTAGCAAAATCACTATATTTAAATCAGCCTAATAGACTTACCCGAACATTTAATAATGTAGGAGTCTACCGAGTGCCACAATTCCTATATATGAGTCCACCAAATAAAGGTGGAAATGAACAAGGTAATTTTCGACCAGCACCAACCATTCATCAAGATAAAATTCTTAAACGAGCTCAAATACCTACAATTGAATCTATTAATTCAAATGAATTACCATTTAATTCAAATGAATCAAATGAGTTATATTGTGATGTCAACAATGAATTGTTAATTTAATAATAACAGTACTGTTATAAACAATAAAAAGAATTAAAAATTTATATGTTTATTTTTTAAATTTAATTATAATTATTAAAAAAAAGTTAAATCAAATAAAATTTTATAATAATTTTATTAAGGGCGAATATACTAAGTAATTTTAAAATTCTAATAATTTAAAACTTTTCATTTGATTTAATTTTCCTAAAATCTTAATTAATAAATACCTAGTTCAGGTTTAACTTGCGATTCCCTTAAATAATAAATTTCTTACTTAGCATCCCTACTATTCTCAAATACAGTCCCTTAATAACAATCAGTAAATAACAGTCATATTTTAATTATCCATGATAATTCAATATCTCTTGTAGCCTGGTAACATTAACTGACTGTACCATAACGTCCTCATCGAGGGCCAAATGTGCGGCAGCACCGGCAGCCTCGCCCAACATCATAAACACCGGTTCCATACGTATAGACCCATACGCTATATGACTGGCCGACAGACACACGGGCACCAACACGTTATGGGCCTCCATGTGCTTCGGTGTCATTGACTGATAGGATATGGGGTAGGGATGTACGCCCTCGGCAGTGGACACACAGCCCTCATTCTTAACCATAC